GCAACCGGAAACCTGTCATTTTTTTTTTATAAAATGAAACAAATTTAGGTAAAAGCTTGTTCCAGAGCGAATCTTCAATGCTGACGTTAGTCAGTGTAAGCACAATGGGATGCAGGTATTCTGCACTCTGATTGGCTGTTGGGTCCTATCTCCTATTTCTTTGTCAATCAGAAAATAGCAAGAATAGCAGGTTACCTGATTGGGCATGAAAATCACACAACTATGAAATATAATATTTTGGAATGATCTGAGAGTAGCCACATTAACTGCCCAAACAAATACATGGTTTCGTCTTATAAAACAGCAAACAATTAATAATAATAATATGTCCTATGTATACATGACCACAGCCACGTTAACAAAATAATACATGTGTGGATTGCTGTGTGAATCTCAGCAAAGCAGAGATGAGTACAGCTATATGGCCATAAAAACATTCTTTTTTTAGCGTCATAACTCTGCAAAAAAAAAATCTTGCATGTAATATCTGGCAAAGATTTATCAAGAGCATAAACATAATATTATTCATGTAAATATAAATTAGTTACTGGAAATAGTAAAAAATACTTAATGGAAATCACAAGAACTTAAAGTATCTATGAGAAAATATTGACGCTGTACAATGGGATCGAACCCAAGTCCCTGGAATTCTCTGCCACACGTGTGGTTGAAGAGTTCAATAAAGCGGATTCAATATTTGATGGAAGAAAATATATTCACCTATGAAGAGCAGCGTACACCTAGGCAAGTGCTACTGTCAACACAGGGTAGAGAGAGACCTTTCAGTTTACACCCCAATCACCGCCACAGGCGAACAGCATGGTCGAACCACAGATGTGAGGTGGTTACAGTGTCTAGAGGACACGGTAACTACCTCTCCTCCCAACACACGCTCATGGGCTGAATATTGTTATTTTTGTTCATTAAAACTAACCTTCTCTTTCCTTCTGAGTATTCTGACTAAACATAGGATTGTTATTTTAATCAACTTTCTCCTCAAGTGAAGAAGAACCGTGGGAATCTAGAGAAAATTTGTCAGAGATTTTTCATCTTAAACTTTCGGTCGTAAACTCTGTAGCAACTCTGAATGGTACTGTAAACCTCAGCTGTTGTGACGATGTTGTTTCTGCTTCAGAGGAGTGTTGGTTAAAGTGGATATTTTGAGCACAACCTGATTATTGACTGAACTGTAGACTGTAGGTGTTAATGATGTGTGTTGTTGGTCAAACCCTATTTCAGGTTAGATTTCCACGCATAGAAGACAAATGTTTGCGAGCCGCTATGATTTATGGAAAATCATATTTTGTCCAATGAGAATTTTGACGTCAAAATGCGATGCATTATTCGAAAGAACACGTTGTTGTCTTAGACAGGAATCTGTGATATTCAATGCAGTCCACAATAGCCTGGGTGATAACATTTGACTCATTTTTAGCTTCGGAGATGTGAACTCTGTCCGCAAAAGTACGAGACTTGTCCTACCAACCAGTACATGGATGTTACTACTCACTTTAGTATGGATTACATCTTATATTTCATGGATTAATGAGTCGAGTACCTCCAGATACTTCAGTGGAGCTCCAGGGTAAGTATCAATTCGTAGCTGGGTACCAGTTCGGTATTTCATGATCGATCCTTCCTTATTGTGAGCATCCATACTGAAGCTGGTAGGAAAAGTCTAGTACTTTTGAGGCCTGAATTAGAATCTCTGATGATCTCGGTGATAAAACACATATGTGACATATCGGTGCTCCCTTTCAAAGGAACTGCTGGCAATAAATCCTAAGTTCCATGAAAACCAATTAAATTATTCTACTTCCTTGCTTGACGTTATTGTAATAAGTTTAAAAATAATAAACGAGAACATTGTTTTGGAGATGCATCTTGTAGATTTTGGACTTGAATATATCATAAAATAAATGAATAACTAGCAGAAACGAGCAGTTTACATTAGTTTACTCTCTGGACATTGGAAGTCCAGAGAGCCTATGACAACCACTGGATCACCTTATAAAAATTTTATTGGATCGTTTTGGAGAGACAATACATTACTGTGGATCTGGGGTTACTTGGAATGCAATATTTCCCGACTCTTGTTCAAATGCAACAAGTAAAATATATTTAAATTTCCTCGGTCTCGTTTAAGTAAATTTTATACCCGTAAACAACATGTTAATTCCCACTAAAGATATTTATCATATTATAACATATAAAAGGTTTCCTATTGAACGAAATATATCAGATTTCAATGCAGAATAATTTATTATCATAAATGGAATAATTAAATATATACAATCTCTTTTGTCCGTCAGGTGAATGTTGGAGGCGCCTGTAGGAGGTGACAGAGGTAATTACTTGGACTCATTGGAGTCGAAGTAGCGGGGCCTGGGAGCGGCGTAGCGGGGAGCCTCCCTGGACTCGACGGAGTCTGGGTAGCGAGCCTCACCGTCGTACTTGACATCAGCGATGTAGCCTGAGTCTCCATCCACTATGTAGTTCACAGTCTGCAGACGACCGTCGGGAAGTTGCACGTAGTACGACCCCTTGGTGTCGTCACCGTCGCGGGACTCCTGGTGACCGAAGTCGTTGCCGGAGTCTTCGTGTTTCACAGCATAGTTGAAGTTGTACTGAGCCTCACTAGACTCGAAAGACTCCGCTGAAGAAACTCGCTACAAAGACCAATGAAATATTTGATAAAAAAAATAATATAAAGAAAAATGTTAATAAATACATTTAAGTAAAATGCTAAAATTAATTCTGATTTGTGAAGATTTTATATAATAATAATAATAATAATAATGAACTTTGAGTTTTTTAATCTTTCAACAAAAATTAATAAACAAAAGTTATTATATAGTTTATACTTATGATAATATAGTATTTCAGGCAGAGAAAATCATGAATAATATATTCCATAAGGTATTTTCCTACATACAAGTGACACTATCTTATATGATACATTAAGAATCCATAAAATACAATATATTTTACAACACTGATAAATTTGCGTTCTCATTGTTTCCTATAGATGGAGTTTAAGGTTTAGAGGTTGACCTTACCCGAGGAGCAGCATAAGAGAAGGTCTCCCGGCTGTCTGCTGCTGCCAGAGCTGCCACTCCCAGCAGGATCAAGATCTGTAACAAGATAAATATTTTGGTTATATTCACAGTAACGCGAACGTCTACAATAATTATATATTTGTTATCAATAAATGATAGCATTAAGTACATAAATTGTTCAGTGTAAGACATAGGGTATATGGTATGATGAGCGAGGTGATGGTGACCTTAGTGTTCATGTTGTGGGTAGAGTTGTCTGGAGGAACTGACTGCTGGTTCCTCTGCCGCTGACCCTTATATACCTCCCCGCAACACCAAGGTCGATTTAATCTTTCTCCTACATTGACCAACTATATTTTGGCAGCATAAATCAGCTCATGGTTGTGAATTGGAAATTTTAGAGACAAGAAACAATTTTGATGAGAGATTAAATTTCCTCTGTATATTTTCAAATTTATAATTTGAAATGACCACAATTTTTTTAAGACATCTGTAATATACTGATTCGTAAAAATATTAAAGCTAGCGGTAGACTTCATTGTACATCGAATGTTAAATAGTATGATCAATAAAGCATAATTTCTTCGTTCATCACTAAAGCCTTATTTTTGAGATGTATTAAGTGTATTTATATGTATTTAAAAAATGTAAATTAAATATTCTCAAGATTGCACATATGTCTATGTGAAATAGATTGCTTCTATTCACATCATCTCCTCTGTATCATGTACACTGTCATTAGGTTCACACTGTTCATTTTCTTCTATTGTAGTCGGATTGCATTTCCTCTGCCTCTTTTTATTCTTGAGCTGTTTCAATTTTGTCACCAATCTTGGAGTAAATCCTTTGACTTTTCTAAATATTTATGTGTTTCATTAAATGGGGTTTCTATGCGTATCACATTCTAGTACAGTAACTTCATATGTTCCCTATGACAGTTAAAGTTATCAAAAAAATATCATGTGCATATATTTTCTGGTTTGGTTTAAGGTGTTTTTTTTATTGTGTTCATGTGAGTTGAGGTTACTTTAATACAATAATCTTTGTTGTTCTCAGATTCTTATATGTACCTCTTGTCTCCTCTGCCTCTTCACATTATTACTATTTAAAATTTGCTTCAATTTAATTCTAGCAACAATTTGTTTGCCTAATTCTAGACTTTATTGTTTTATTTTTTCTGCATCTTGCAATCCCCCTAAGTCCATATATTTCTCTTCTCCTTTACATTTTCTGAAAACATTGACATGTAGAAGCGTACCTTTTAGGGAAGGGCTTTCACTATGTTCCGAAATTACAGAGGTCCCAGGACTAAGTCTCCTGGATCCCTCTTGGTAAGTCCCTCTATTGCTTGTCTGTTAGATACTCCTTTATTATGACCAGTACCTTTCCAGTTATTCCTGATTATTTCTTCTAAATTTATATTATCAGGTACAGGATGAAATACCAAAGATGAAGTTTACCCGGTCAACTCATTTCTGTCTTACGTTGATCATCAAGTCTTATAATTGTTGTTTATTCGAAATCAGTGACTAATCCACTCTGAAGTCATGCAACCTCTCGGACACAATTCTCGGTCTATTTAAATATTCCACAACTCTTTTCATCGTAGTATTTTACAGTACATACTGGATATATATGTCAAGAATATTGATATATAACTTAAGGTCTTAATCTATAACTTGGAAAAAATACTGAATCTCTAGAAGACGAGACATAGTTCGAACTTCTTCAAAAATTAGAAACACAAAAATGTAATTGCAGAAGAGATTACAGGATGCTATTAGTCCCCCCTACGTGGCTTCTGTCTTTTGAAATAACAATTACAAAGTTTCATTAGACTTTTGAGGCCGAGATGTAGTTGGTCAATGTAGGAGAAAAAGTTAGTGTTGAACGACCTTGGTGATCCGGGGAGGTATATAAGGGTCAGCGGCAGAGGAACCAGCAGTCAGTTCCTCCAGACAACTCTACCCACAACATGAACACTAAGGTCACTATCACCTCGCTCATCATGCTATATACTCTATGTCTTACACTGAACAATGCGTGAGCTTAATGCTAACATTTATTGATAACAAATATATAATTATTAAGTTAGGCGTTCGCATTACTGTGAATATTACCAAAATGTTTATATTATTACAGATCTTGATCCTGCTGGGCGTGGCAGCCCTGGTAGCAGCAGACAGCCGGGAGACCTTCTCTTATGCTGCTCCTCGGGTCAGTCAACCTCTAAACCTTAAACTCCGTCTATGGGAAATACATGAGAATGCAAATTAATCAGTTTTGTTAAATATAATTCAGCATTGTTAACATATAATATTATAACATTATCCATATAATACCATTTGTTATATTAATATTAATAATCATTATCAAGTCTAAAAATGTTCCTCATTTAAATTTACTTAACATCTTTCTATATATTGACTTAATAATCATTTCTCTGTCTTATATAGCGAGTTTCTTCAGCCGAGTCTAGTGAAGCTCAGTACAACTTCAACTATGCTGTGAAACACGAAGACTCCGGCAACGACTTCGGTCACCAGGAGACCCGCGACGGTGACGACACCAAGGGGTCGTACTACGTGCAGCTTCCCGACGGTCGTCTGCAGACCGTGACTTATTTCGTGGACGGTGACTCAGGCTACATCGCTGATGTCAAGTACGACGGTGAGGCTCGCTACCCAGACTCCGACGAGTCCAGGGAGGCTCCCCGCTACGCCGCTCCTAGGCCCCGCTACTTGGACTCCAATGAGTCCAAGTAATTACCACTATCACCTCCTACAGGCGCCTCCAACACTCACCTGACGACCAATAGAGATTGAATATATTTAATTATTCCATTTATGATAATAAATTATTCTGCATTCAATATATATGATATCTTTTTGTTCAACCGGAAATCTGTTAAAATGTAATAATATAAACGAGTTTAGGTAAAAGGTTGTTCCAGAATGAAGCTCTATGCTGACGATAGCCATTGTAAGCGCATTGGGATGCAAGTATTCTGTATTCTGATTGGCTGATGGGGCCAATCTCCTCTTTCTTTGCCAATCAAATAAAACAAAGAATTGCAGCTTACCTGATAGGGCATGAAAATCACAAAACCATGAAATAGAATATTTTGGGAATGATCTGAGTGCATCCACATTATCTGCCCAAACAAATACATTGTTTCGTCTTATAAAACAGCAAACAGTTATTAATAGTAATGTGTCCTATGTATACATGACCACAGTCAAGTTAACAAAATAATACGTGTGTGGATTGCTATTTGAATTTCAGTAGAGCAGAGATAAGTACAGATTCTCTTTTAGCGTCTTAACTCTTTCAAAAAATTCTTGCACGTAATAACTGGCAAAGGTTTATCTTGAGCATCAAAAAATAATATTATTCATGTTAATATAAATTATTAACTGAAAATAGTAAAATATACTTAATGGAAATCACAAGAACGTAAAGTATATATGAGAAAATATTGAGGCTGTACGATGGGATCGAACCCTGATCCCGGGACTTCTCAGGCACACGTGTGCTTGAAGAGTTCAATAATGCGGATTCAGTATTTGATGGAAAAAATGTATTCACTGTGAAAGAGCCGCGTACACTTAGGCAAGTGCTTCTGTCAACACAGGCTAGAGAAACCTGTTAGTTAACACCCCCAATCACCGTTACAGGCGAACAGCATGGTTAAACCACAAATGTGAGTTGGTTACAGTGTCTAGAGGACACGGTAACTACCTCTACTCTCAACCACGGTAACTACCCCTCCTCCCAACACAAGGTCATAGGTTGAATATTGCTATTTTTATTCATTAAAATTAACCTTTTTTTCCCCTCTGAGGATTCTGACTGAACATAGGAATGTTATTTTATCCAACTTCTCAAGTGAAGAAGAACCTTGGAAATCTAGAGAAAATTTGACACTTTTAATCTAAAACTCTCGGTCGTAAACTTTGTTGCAAACTAAATGGTACTGTAAACCTCAGCTGTTGTGACGATGGTGTTGCTGGTTCGGAGGAGTGTTGGTTAAAGTGAATATTTTGAGCAGAACCTTAACATTGACTGAACTGTAGGTGTTAAAGATGTGTGTTGCTGATCATAACCTATTAATAGGTTAGGTTTCCTCGCATAGATGACATAAATGTTTGCGAGCCGCTATTATTTATAGAACATCATATTTTGCCTGATGGTAATTTTGACGTAAAAATGCGATGCATTATTCCAGAGGACTCGTTGTTGTCTTGGAAAGGAATCTGTGATATTCAATGCAATCCACAATAGCATTTGACTAACTTGGAGATTCGAACTCGGTCCGTAAAAGTACGAGACTTGTGCTATCAACCAGAACATGGAGGTTATTACTCACTTTATTATGGATTACCTCTTATACGGCGTGGATTAATGAGTGGATTACCTCCAGGTACATTAGTGGTGCTCCGAGGTAAGATTACATTCGTAGCTGGGTACCAGTTTGGTATCTCTGATTGATCATTCCTTTTTGTGAGCATCCATGGTGTAGCTGGTAGGAAAAGTCTCGTACTTTTGAGGCCTGAATTAGAATCTCCGATAATCTCGGTGATAAAACACATATGTGACATATCGGTGCTCCCTTTCAAAGGAACTGCTGGCAGTAAATCCTAAGTTCCATGAAAACCAATTAAATTACCCTATTTCCTTGTTTTCTGTTATTATAGTAAGTTTTAAAAATAAACGAAATCGTTGTTATTGCTTTGCATCTTGAAGACTTCGCACTTGAATATATCATAAAAAAACATGAATCACTGGGAGGATCGAACAGTTTAGTTAGATTTCATTAGAGGTCCAGAGAGCCTATGAGGACCACTGGACCACCTTATAAAGTTTGTATTGGATCGTTTTGTAGAAACGATACATTAGGTGGATCTGGGGTTCTTTGGAATGCAATATTTCCCGACTCTTGTTCAAATGCAACAAGTAAAATATATTTAAATTTCCTCGGTATCGTTTAAGAAAATCTTATACCAGTAAACAATGTGTTAATTCCAACTAAAGTTATTTATCATATTATAACATGTAAAAGGTTTCCTATTGAACGAAAATATCAGATTTCAATGCAGAATAATTTATTATCATAAATGGAATAATTAAATATATATACAATCTCTTTTGGCCGTCAGGTGAATGTTGGAGGCGCCTGTAGGAGGTGACAGATGTAATTACTTGGACTCATTGGAGTCGAAGTAGCGGGGCCTGGGAGCGGCGTAGCGGGGAGCCTCCCTGGACTCGTCGGAGTCTGGGTAGCGAGCTTCACCGTCGTACTTGACATCAGCGATGTAGCCTGAGTCTCCATCCACTATGTAGTTCACAGTCTGCAGACGACCGTCGGGAAGCTGCACGTAGTACGACCCCTTGGTGTCGTCACCGTCGCGGGTCTCCTGGTGACCGAAGTCGTTGCCGGAGTCTTCGTGTTTCACAGCATAGTTGAAGTTGTACTGAGCCTCACTAGACTCGAAAGACTCCGCTGAAGAAACTCGCTACAAAGACCAATGAAATATTTGATAAAAAAAGACAATATAAAAAAAAATGTTAATAAATACATTTAAGTAAAATGTTTAAACTAATTAACTGATTTGTGAAGATTTTTTATAATAATAATAATAATGGACTTTGAGTTTTTTAATCGCTCAACAAAAATTAATAAACAAAAGATATTATATAGTTTATGCTTATGATAATATAGTATTTAAGGCAGAGAAAATCATGAATAATATATTCCATAAGGTATTTTCCTACATACAAGTGACACTATCTTATATGATATATTAAGAATACATAAAATACAATATATTTTATAACAGTGATAAATTTGTGTTCTCATTGTTTCCTATAGATGGAGTTTAAGGTTTAGAGGTTGACCTTACCCGAGGAGCAGCATAAGAGAAGGTCTCCCGGCTGTCTGCTGCTGCCAGAGCTGCCACACCCAGCAGGATCAAGATCTGTAACAAGATAAATATTTTGGTATTATTCACAGTAACGCGGACGTCTACAATAATTATATATTTGTTATCAATAAATGATAGCATTAAGTACATAAATTGTTCAGTGTAAGACATAGGGTATATGGCATGATGAGCGAGGTGATAGTGACCTTAGTGTTCATGTTGTGGGTAGAGTTGTCTGGAGGAACTGACTGCTGGTTCCTCTGCCGCTGACCCTTATATACCTCACCGCAACACCAAGATCGATCTACTCTTTCTCCTACATTGACCAACTATATTTTGGCAGCATAAATCAGCTCATGGTTGTGAATTCGAGAATTTAGAGACAAGAAACAATTTTGATGAGTGATTAAATTTTCTCTATATATTTTCAAATTTATAACTTGAAATGACCACAATTTTTTTAAGACATCTGTAATATACTGATTCGTAAAAATATAAAAGCTAGCGGTAGACTTCATTGTACATCGAATGTTAAATAGTATGATCAATAAAGCATAATTTCTTCGTTCATCACTAAAGCCTTATTTTTGAGATGTATTAAGGGTATTTATATGGATTTAAAAAATGTAAATTAAATATTCTCAAGATTGCACATATGTCTATGTGAAATAGATTGTTTCTATTCACATCGTCTCCTCTGTATCATGTACACTGTCATTAGGTTTACACTGTTCATTTTTCTTCTATTGTAGTCGGATTGCATTTCCTCTGCCTCTTTTTATTCTTGAGCTCTTTCAATTTTGTCACCAATCTTGGAGTAAATCCCTTGACTTTTCTAAATGTTTATGTGTTTCATTGAATGGGGTTTCCATACGTATAACATTCTAGTACAGTAACTTCATATGTTCCCTATGACAGTTTAAGTTAAAAAAAAAAGTGCATATATTTTCTGGTTTGGTTTAAGGTGTTTCTTTTATTGTGTTCATGTGAGTTGAGGTTACTTTAATACAATAATCTTTGTTGTTCTCAGATTCTTATATGTACCTCTTTGTCTCCTCTGCCTCTTCACATTATTACTATTTAAAATTTGCTTCAATTTAATTCTAGCAGCAATTTGTTTGCCTAATTCTAGACTTTATTGTTTTATTTTTTCTGCATCTTGCAATCCCCCTAAGTCCATATATTTCTCTTCTCCTTTACATTTTCGGAAAACATTGACTTATATAAGCGTACCTTTTAGGGAAGGGCTTTCACTATATTCCGAAATTACAGAGGTCCAAGGACTAAGTCTCCTGGATCCCTCTTGGTAAGTCCCTCTATTGCTTGTCTGTAAGATACTCCTTTATTATGACCAGTACCTTTCCAGTTATTCCTGACTATTTCTTCCAAATATATATTATCAGGTACAGGAAGAAATATCAAAGATGAAGTTTACCCGGTCAACTCATTTCTGTCTTACGTTGATCATCAAGTCTTATAATTGTTGTTTGTTCGTAATCAGTGACTAATCCACTCCAAAGTTATACAGCCTCCCGGACACAATTCTCGGTCTATTTAGATAGTTCACAACTCTTTTCATCGTAATATTTTACAGTACATACTGGATATATATGTCAAGAATATTGATTTATAACTTAAGGTCTTAATCTATAGCTTGGAAAAAATACTGGATCTCTAGAAGACGAGACATAGTCCAAACTTCTTCAAAAATTAGAAACACAAAAATGTAATTGCAGAAGAGATTACAGGATGCTATTAGTCCCCCTATGTGGCTTCTGTCTTTTGAAATAGCAATTACAAAGTTTCATTAGACTTTTGAGGCCGAGATGTAGTTGGTCAATGTAGGAGAAAAGGTTAGTGTTGAGCAAACTTAGTGATCCGGGGAGGTATATAAGGGTCAGCGGCAGAGGAACCAGCAGTCAGTTCCTCCAGACAACTCTACCCACAACATGAACACTAAGGTCACTATCACCCCGCTCATCATGCTATATACCCTATGTCTTACACTGAACAATGCGTGAGCTTAATGCTAACATTTATTGATAAATATATAATTATTATGTTAGACGTTCGCGTTACTGGGAATATTACCAAAATATTTATCTTGTTACAGATCTTGATCCTGCTGGGCGTGGCAGCCCTGGCAGCAGCAGACAGCCGGGAGACCTTCTCTTATGCTGCTCCTCGGGTAAGGTCAACCTCTAAACCTTCCTTGAGTTACACTTGAAGTTCTTTTATAATGAAACTGCACTCGTATCAACCATGATTAATTGAGTAATAAGTTGCTAAAATAATACAAATTTTATTTTTAAAAGTATAGTTAAAAATATAGCTTGTGGTAGTGACCTCAATGCTTGATCGTTTTAGAGTACATTTAGGTACTTCATCTTTACAATGTCAGGGAAAGACAAAGATCAGCTGAAAATGATTTGAGAATATCTTTTTATTGGAATTAATGAACACAACTTTACAAATAAATATTACTGATACACAATGAAATCACAGTAGTGTGATATGTCAATGAAAAAATCTTTGAAGCAGGACGGCTGGACCGAACTAACATCCTTGGTCACGCTAAACGAGCGCCTTAACCCAAGGACCACGATATGCTTAATAATATCACGGTTAATTAGTACTGTACGCGTCTGGGATGACCCAGGACTCTGGTTCGATCTCACCGTCCTGCTCCAAAAATTTCTCATGTAATTTTTTAGATATGAAACAATTATACATATAATTATATTACAACTTTAACATAACATTTGGAGTTATGTTAAACATAACTCCAAATGTTATGGAGTAATAACATTTGGAGTAACTTATCAAATCTTATATATATGTAGAGGGTGTCTTCTGACGAGTCTTATGAGTCAAGTGAGGCTCAGTACAACTTCAACTATGCTGTGAAACACGAAGACTCCGGCAACGACTTCGGTCACCAGGAGACCCGCGACGGTGACGACACCAAGGGTTCGTACTACGTGCAGCTTCCCGACGGTCGTCTGCAGACTGTGAACTACATAGTGGAGGGAGACTCAGGCTACATCGCTGATGTCAAGTACGACGGTGAGGCTCGCTACCCAGACTCCGACGAGTCCAGGGAGGCTCCCCGCTACGCCGCTCCCAGGCCCCGCTACTTCGACTCCAATGAGTCCAAGTAATTAAGAGTAGCTCACCAACAAATGTGTCGACAACCATATGTATCTACCCATGACGAATGTCTTGCTTGACCATTTATTTCAAATTCAAAACTTATATTTATTACAATAAATTATTCTGCATGTAAACTGTTCCTTATATCCCTCATTCATAACATAATTATGTGGTATATTCTACAAATAAAATTATAATTTAAAACTAGTAATATGCATCATTAGTCTTAACCTTTGGACTGAACTTTGTATCTGAAAATGTTATATTATTTTTGTGTTTATAAAAATGGCAGGATATGCAATGAAAAAGTGAAGCAAAATAGCAAGTATGATATCAAACATTGTTTTCAACAAATATATTCAGGATCCAAGATAATTCAAACTACAAACATTATTTAATTCACGAATTTTTACCTATAATACAGCCCGTCCTCATCAACAAACACCAATTGGGTGTTATTCTAGCCACCAAAGCCCTTTTTACGATTAAAAAACACTTTACACGCGACAACTTAGATGACGTATGTACTGTTCTCGAGTAGTGCTTCGTTCAGGGCCTCTGCATTCAATGCACCTCTCTAAATGCTTCACCTATTTACTGCAAATACCAACAATCACAAGCAGAACTTAGCCTAACCTAAGCTAGACCTAATTATTCAGAACATTCTAGTATATAATAATATTACCTAATGTTCGAGAAAATGTAAATTTTGAATGTGCAGTGTGTTAAAATTGACGGATGCGTCTCTAGTTGTTATGTTATAGATTCAGCTACTCGGAACAAGTTCCAAGTAGCACGGGCTATGGTGAGCCCGTAGCTTACCTGGCACAGGAGCGGTGCTGTGTGTGTGGCGTCTTTAGGTGCGGCGGCCGCCTGGACGAGCTTGCCTGAAGACAGTGGAGGTAATAATAAGACTTTTCATCTATGGAAGATTAAGAGTATGTAAGAGACATGTCCATTTTCGGTAATTTATTTTTAAGGTCTATTAAGCATAACAAAAATTTCATTTGTTCTGTATTGATGAATGTCAGTTGACGTTAGTCTCATTGTAATCCTGTGAACTGATTTACACAAACTGACGTATGCCGCAGTTTAAGGGTTAAGAGAAGACTAACTTCATCTAATAAAACTTTAGATTTTTACACAAAATTTATCTCAATGATATTTTTGTTGAGAAATAATTTTAGTGTTCAGTCATACGAATCTTGAAAACGATTTACAAGTGACTATAGAGAAAAAACATGATTTTGTGCATATAAATGCAGTATATATTGGGTAGTTGGAGCAATAACATGCGTCCTGCCTGCCGTGAAAATGCGGCATGTGTTACAAATTTTAATATGACAATAGCTTAAAGTTTAGCTATTATCTTTAGTTTATCTATTATTTATATAATAGATTTTAGTTTATCTATTATTTTAGTTTCTTTAGCTGAAAAAATATTTTATAAAAAAACTTGATATTAACTAAAGCAGAGGTTCTTAATCGTGAATATCCATATTCTATGGGGGGTATGGGACTCGATTTCTGAACAATTTAAAAAGCAAATGATGTTCTTAGATAAGATTTGAACCCGTTACCAAAACGGGATAAGGCTGTTATATTACTAGCTATCCATATCTAAAGTAAAACATAGTTATAGATATATTTTGAAGCCATACTGGTACTTAATAGGATTATGGTGGTGATCTTGACCATCTCGAAACTCTGGCATAAGAGGTTATGAGGCCATATTGGGTAATTCATTTTAAGTCTGTAATCGTAAAAAGGTCAAGAACCCCAGCACTAGACTAAAATAGATTAACTAATAAAATCAATAATCACACAAAACCTTCAACATTTTATGCTCTAGATTTAACTGCATGAACTTGTTATTAACAAATAGTCGAGGGAGACCAACAGGAGTGATAAACCCTCATGAGAACCAGTCCAAAAAGAGTGCCAGACCTACAAGAGTGTCAGTTCAACAAGAGTGCCAGACCAACAAGAGTGCCAGTCCAGTAAGAGTGCCAGACCAACAAGAGTGCCAGTCCAGTAAGAGTGCCAGACCAATAACCCTACAGAGAAAAGCCGTGCTAGGGAACGAGGCAGTTCAGCAGTCAAGGAACTAGCACTACGAGAGGCGTATCCCTCACCTTGACTCACAGTATCATGGCTGCCCTCAGATTTCCTAAACGGTGACGAAGCTAAAACTGAAAGTTTCATTCGTTTGGTTTCTCCTCCGAGTAAAAAGTTCTTCTTTAAAGTTCACACTCATTAAAATGAGTGTATGTGCTGGAGGCAAAATATTCCTGATAATAATAATGATAATAAAAATAATAATAATAATAATAATAATAATGATGATGGTAATAATAATAATGTATTAAAAGGACAGAGAAACGAATGAAGAGAAAGAAGAAGGAAGCGGATGATAACCTGAAGTGCATTCATCAGAAGAGCATTACCAAGATAATCGTCAATAGCCTGTTTTCTGTCTCTTCAATAATTTGGATCAAAAGGCATAGAAGTGAGTAGTAAAAATCTTTTAAGATGAACCTTTGCAGAGATGCTGAGGGAGCTCCAGGCTCTTCATATCCCAACAGGCAAGGTCAAGTTGTACACGAAGGTCAATAACACGAAAGCTAATAGAACGTGTAACCCAAAGATCACTAAGAACTCTAAATGACTGGACGAGGATTCGAACCCATGCCGCAAAGGATCACCTGTAAACGTACACGGTACTGTGACCACGATATATATATATATATATATATATATATATATATATATATATATATATATATATATATATATATATATATATATATATATATATATATTATTGAAATAGGAATTTCAATTATTTCAATTATATATATATTGAAATTGAAATTGAAATAAGTTTATTGAGGTAAAATACACACAAAGGGATGAGGTAGCTCAAGCTATTCTCACCCCATTCAGTACAACGTGTTAATACATACATAGACACACATCACAAATAAACATATTTATATATTGAAAGAATTGAAATATTAATTTCCTTAAGTACTTTCGTATATTAATACATCTTCATTCCTTCTGAAGAAGTATTAATATACAAAAGTACTTAAGGAAATTCCTGTTTCAATTCTTTCTCCGTGGTCTGACACTGCCACTTTTTCATCACGTGTTAATCTTCGTGATTTACACACACACACACACACACACACACACACACACACACACACACACACACACACACACACACACACACACACACACACACACACACATATAGTGTTTGCGAAATATGAAATTTGTTGCACTAGATATATTTTGACTGTATAGGCTGTGCATATAAAACAGATGCAAATGGATCTCCCCCGCATACAGATGACTGAGCCTGAGTTTAAGCAATTATCCATATAGGGAACCGAGGGTGATTTTCACCACTGTGTAGAAGGTTAGATTCCTTGCCACGCCCGCATTGCAGGCCCAACCACCCTTCCGTAAGGGTGGCACAACCATAACTTTCAGCTTCCAATTAGGTGTTTTATGATAACTGATGCTTAGTGTGTATTGCACCTAGTAAGATCTAGGCAATCATTATTACTTTCCTTTGTTGATGACCTTATGAGTTGTTTTACTCAAGCGATGTTGATTTATTGATGACCTTTGAAGGTAGTTTGATAGTTAAGACCTGCGGATGAGTGGTTTCTCAAGCAGGGTATTGCAAAGCTTTAAACAGTTAAAGTTTGTTTTCATGTCAGATATTAATTAGATCATTTTATAGACTTCTAGCCTAAATTTGACCTTTTGAGATCTTGGATGTGTTTAAAAAGATTTTATGATAGATATATATGTAATTTGCAAAGGAACTTACCTGTAGAGCAGTAGTTAGCGCATGTAGTTCGTATCCTCAGATCTGTTAGAAACGAATCCTTACATCTCATCCGGGGAGTAGGTCAGGGTTGTATCTAAGAGAAGGTCTTAAGTCCAAGAAGGCCCTCGGCAGGCCTTCCTCCTGTCCCAACCAATGGGAAACTTACACTGATGGTTTTTTATGGGGGGCGCCTAGTGGCTGAGTGGACAGCACGCTGGATACGTAGTCCTGCTGGGCCAGGTATCGATCCCCGGTCATGACGGAAACAAATGGGCAGAGTTTCTTTCACCCTGATGCACCTGTTACCTAGCAGTAAATAGGTACCTGGGAGTTAGACAGCTGTTACGGGCTGCATCCTTGGTGTACTCGCCTATTTGTGCTTGCGGGGGTTGAGCTTTGGCTCTTTGGTCCCGCCTCTCAACTGTCAATCAACTGGTGTACAGATTCCTGAGCCTACTGGGCTCTATCATATCTACATTTAAAACTGTGTATGGAGTCAGCCTCCACCACATCACTGCCTAATGCATTCCATCCGTTAACTACTCTGAGACTGAAAAAGTTCCTTCTAACATCCCTGAGTGTGTGTGTGTGTGTGTGTAATTACCTAAGTGTAGTTACAGGATGAGAGCTACGCTCGTGGTGTCCCGTCTTCCCAACACTCTTTGTCATATAACGCTTTGAAACTACTGTGTGTGTGTGTGTGTGTGTGTGTGTGTGTGTGTGTGTGTGTGTGTGTGTGTGTGTGTGTGTGTGTGTGTAAAAGACAAAAACAAGGTGATTGATTGACAGTTGAGAGGCGGCAAGCATAGAGCTCAACCCCCTGCAAGCACAACTACGTGAATACAACTAGAACAACTAGGTGAATACTAAAATGTGTTCATATTACAATTGGAATGGTTTCCCCTCAATTGTTTTGAAAACTCGTTTTCTCTTGTAATGGGCCCCCCCCCCCTTTCGTGCTCCATCCGACCAAGGAATTTATTGCAGATCACTTTTATGGAATAGGTTCTTAAACCAGAGAAAAATATGTACCTATCTGCGGCAACCATGTTTTTTGGTAACAAACCTAACCTATTATGACCGAATCACCCATCAGAAGATGAAGTTACGACGACGTTTCGGTCCGTCCTGGACCGAAACGTCGTCGTTTCTTCATCTGACGTGTGGTTTCGTCATCATATCTTCAGCCACGTTATTGTGACTCATCGTCTGCAAACCTACCCTATCCCAACCTAACCTAACTTAACCCAATCACACCTAACCTATCCCAATCAAATCAATAATCTTGACTTAACCTAGCCTTGACTTAACCTAACCTTGACATAAACTTGACTTAACCTAATCCACCCTAACGTAACCCCTACCTAACCAAGCCTAACCAAACGGAAATAGGAGATAAAATGATTTGTGTAAAGTGTTAACGAGGTGTGTGACGTCACTGTGTTTATGCCGACACTGGTGTCAGATCCCACTGAGCTGTTTTGTTTTCACGTGATCCTGGATCCCTGGGTGGAGGGCTCCTCAAGCCGTCCTCTCAACTAATCGTCGCATTTTTTTCGGAATCGACCAATCAGTTAAAAATGAGGCGTAATAGTAACAAATATAATCAATGTAATAATGACGTTTTCTATGCACCGGCCTCGATTGGTCAGGTGGGTCGATTGGGTCCGTACGTTTCTGGTCAAACAGTTGCATTTTTTTACGGAGTGACAAATTGAGAGAACGTGCTGGTTCCTCAACCTGGCTTCAGTTTTTTTCGCCCTTTTCTATTCGACCTATTTTTGCACTTTTGACATAGGTCTATAATGGAGGTTCATATTGAGAACTGTTGACATAGGTCTATAATGTAGGTTCGATAAGAATTGTTGACATAGGTCTATAATGGAGGTTCATATTGAGAACTGTTGACATAGGTCTATAATGGAGGTTCATATTGAGAACTGTTGACATAGGTCTATAATGGAGGTTCGATAAGAACTGTTGACATAGGTCTATAATGGAGGTTCGATAAGAACTGTTGACATAGGTCTATAATGGAGGTTCGATAAGAACTGTTGACATAGGTCTATAATGGAGGTTCGATAAGAACTGTTGACATAGGTCTATAATGTAGGTTCGATAAGAATTGTCGACATAGGTCTATAATGGAGGTTCGATAAGAATTGTTGACATAGGTCTATAGGATAGATTCACATTGAGAAAATAGATGATATAGGGTATTGCAATTCTCAAATATACAACCTGGTTCACGAAAACGTATTAAGTTTAAGGACAGGTTGAAAAGAGTCGCCGCCACACACACTGACCAGGATAACCTAACTTTACAGTCCAAGCTCTCTTAGCCTTTTGCAGTTCTTCAGTTCTTTGCATGAATCTTAAATTACATACTTTTAAATGAGTGGATTGGGTGTCTTAATACCTAAACGAACTTTCGGTCTTCTGAAATAACTCTTTCAGAGTTTCATTAGACTTTTGAGGCCGAGATGTAGTTGGTCAATGTAGGAGAAAAAGTTAGTGTTGAGCGACCTTTGAGTTGCGGGGAGGTATATAAGGGTTAGCGGCAGAGGAACCAGCAGTCAGTTCCTCCAGACAACTCTACCCACAACATGAACACTAAGGTCACTATCACCCCGCTCATCATGCTATATACCCTATGTCTTACACTGAACAATGCGTGAGCTTAATGCTAACATTTATTGATAACAAATATATATAATTATTACGTTAGACGTTCGCGTTACTGGGAGTATTACCAAAATATTTATCTTGTTACAGATCTTGATCCTTTTGGGTGTGGCAGCCCTGGCAGCAGCAGACAGCCGGGAGACCTTCTCTTATGCTGCTCCTCGGGTAAGGTTAACCTCTGAACCATTATTTAGAATCTAATGTTCTCCCATAATAAATCTAAGAGTGTCAGTCTTGAACCTGTTGAAAATGTACAACGCAAATGACTCTAACAGGGAAAACAAATTCAAGCCTAAGTGTATATGGTATTTGTCTTCTTCTCCATTCTTGAAGAGGTAAACTATGGGATATCTCGACAGGTTTCAACAAAAACAGGAAATGTATCTTAAATTTATCTCTATCCCATGGAATGCTTTCAACGCAAATCAACGTTCTACAATAGCCCTTCGTTCAAACCCGTTTTGTAAACAGTTTAGTTGAAGTAATAAGTATATATGAGTTCTACCTAAGAATTATTGCAGCCACCGAAACAAATATGTAGCAGTTATAATAGCTTCTATATTAGTGCCATATGAAGAAATAATCTGAGTAAAATAATCATATGTTATTGAATATTTTGAAGGGTAATCTAATTTAACAGTTTAGAGAAAAAGTATGTGTTATAATTATAAATAATTAAGGCACTTGTGTACATTCATGATGAAAATTTGTAATTCATCATCATGTAATTACATGGGAATCATGTAATTCAGTACATGAATTACATTCATGATGAGAATTTCTTATTATTTTTACTATTATATCGATACATGCATTGTATATATAATTATGTATAATAATTATATCTTCAAATATATAATTATATTTATTTACTAATTCACGTTTTTATTTTTAGAGGGCTTCTTCTGACGAGTCTTATGAGTCTAGTGAGGCTCAGTACAACTTCAACTATGCTGTGAAACACGAAGACTCCGGCAACGACTTCGGTCACCAGGAGACCCGCGACGGTGACGACACCAAGGGGTCGTACTACGTGCAGCTTCCCGACGGTCGTCTGCAGACTGTGAACTACATAGTGGAGGGAGACTCGGGTTACATCGCTGATGTCAAGTACGACGGTGAGGCTCGCTACCCAGACTCCGACGAGTCCAGGGAGGCTCCCCGCTACGCCGCTCCCAGGCCTCGCTACTTCGACTCTAATGAGTCCAAGTAATCGCCAGTGTGGTCTCCATCATCTCGAGAGAAACCTGATGATCTGGCGAAGATGAGGTTATCATATCTTTGCTTTTAAAATTAACTTAATTTATACAATAAATTATTCTGCATTCATGATTTCTTGACTTACCTCATGATCCCCCAACGATCCATGTAACTGGGAACAATTCCGTCCCTCTGTTCTATCCAAGCTCCTTGTCCTCATAACCCATCTCATTGTCTTCATATCCCAGCTCCTTGACTTCATATTCCATCTTTTTGTCCTCATATCCCAGCTCTTTCGCTCTTTTGTCCTCATATCCAAGCTCCTAGTCCACATATCACAGCTCCTTGTCATTGTTACGGCCCTCTCGGGACGCAACGGGGTTCTTACTCTGATGTAGTTAGAGGAAGATATATATCCGGCCCCAAGCCAGTAGAGGCTTTCAAGGGATGCGATCCGTGACGCAAGTAACTAAAAGGGGAAGGGAAATAAAGGCAAAAACTTATATATTTATTGGTGGTGGTCAATATATTATGATATAAAAGGAGTACACAGGGGGAGGGGTATTAATACTATGCAAGGGGATTATTCACTGTAGTCTTCTGCTGAAGACTCTGGTGCCACACCACTTTCGGTGCCGATTCCTTGGTGCTTTCTTCGTGGCCTCAAGACGTGTCCACTGAGAACGCCGAGTCTACCCTGGCCACAGGTCAGCCACAACGCAGGTCCACTGGGGGCACCGTCGTGGAGGCCGTCAACCACACGTCCAGCAGGTCTGCTGGCAGGTACTGAGCCACCAAGGCTGGTACGGCCACTCCACGAACGATAAAAGGGGTACGCCCTAGACAGGAGTCTCGTGTGATATCACCAATCACCCTCCTGTCCTCAATACCCCAGTGGATTATCGTCTCCAACCGTCGGTCCCGGGTAAATCCTTCCACTGCCACTCCACTGGCAGGCTTAACACACCACAGTGTTCTTCCGGGGGGACGACGTCACGACAGCTGCAGCAAACTTCACTGTATGGAGACTGGCTGCCTCGGGTAGACTGACTCCACCTTCAACACAGTGGTCCCAGGTCGGCTCTGTAAGCAGACACGTCATCAATAACTGGGACACTAATACACCACACTCACAGGCTCAGATACTAACACCTGACGCATCCAGTCCATAGATGGCGCTGTCGTCGGAGCACCACCTCACCAGAGGTCAGGGGCGGCGGTGTTGAGCGTTGAACCAGACTGGAAACTGCTCCTCGAGGCCAGTACACGCTGTCCTCACCAGGTGTCGTCGTTCGTTTGGCGGGGGTTTCGGGAGCTGACCCACAGATGGCGTGTTTGTCACTGCTCCAGGCACGGACACTGGATCCGGGTTCGTAACAGTCATCATATCCCAGATCCTTGCCCTGTTCTCAAATTCCTTCCAAGTACTATATAGTTGTATGAGCTTAGCTCTCTCTCCTCAGAATAACTTTAACTCATTCAACAACAATTTGCAAAGTATACCAAGCAGACGAAAGTTTATGAAAATATCCATTAGTTGGTGTAAACTGAAGATAGTAAGCTTGAGTATTACATTACCTTGCGGATAATAAGGCACAATGCCCTATCCGAAAATAAAATAAGCCAAGCCACACATATAAAAGGAAAGATTAATATATATATATATATATATATATATATATATATATATATATATATATATATATATATATATATATATATATATATATAATATATATATATATATTATACATTAATCACATTATTCACCCTCTTGATCGAGAGCTGCAGTGTGGATCACTACTTGTTCTTGCTGTTGAAATCTCCAGTGACATTCATTATCTTCCCGGCTTAGTTGTGTTTAGCGAGTTTTTTTTTAATATGTAAGTCTTTTTTTTATACATATACGTATCTATGTACTCACCTATTTGTGTTTGCGGGGGTTGAGCTTTGTCTCTTTGATCCCGCCTCTCAACCGTCAATCAACTGGTGTACAGATTACTGGGCTCTAGAACATATCTGAGTACTTGTCTGTGTATGCTTCTCTGTGCGTTCATGTCTGTGTGCACGTGCCAATGTGTAAGTGTGTGTGTGTCCGTGCGCACATATCTATGGTGTTTATGTAGCTGCCTATATGTACGTGTCTGGATGTGAAAATATCATCGTGTATGTATGTTTGTTTATCTGGAAAACACCATGCTAGCCTTCAGAGTAACTAGATAGATACCGTGCATGTTGCACAATTATAAATTATTTTATCTCGGAGAAAATGAATATAAAGATTAGAGTTCAAGGTAAGCATTGGAGGCAATCACTGTAGGATTATATGTCACTGTGGGGAGTATTTATGTCTCTGTGGGAGTACATGTCACTGTGGTAGTATATGTCACTGTGGGAGTACATGTCACTGTGGGAGTACATGTCACTGTGGGACTGATATCTGTCACTGGAGGATGAGACCTGCCACTGTATAGATACACAAAATGCATTCAGTAGAATATTTACACATAAAAATAACCGTAATAACACATTGTGATTGTTTTGTAACGCATTTTATGATTGTTGGGTAACACTTATTGTAAAAATATATTAGAGCTTTTGGAAGGTATCGTGTAAATAATATAATTTATTTACAAAAAATACATGACATTTACACTGATTAAATTATGCTAACCATATTCACATGAACGCCTGCGGTATGGAAAGTATCAATAAATAGATCCAACCCGTCGACATAGTAGGCTCGTTCAGGCGGCGGCAGATCCAAAGACACATTCATAAATTCGTACTGTGCATTCAAAATCAGCATTTTCTTAAATATAAATTGATTTTATTATATTAGAATTCGGTGTATTGTTAGGCCCATATTAGGTTAGATGTTTAGTCTCTGCTAGCAATTATGTGTATTTGCAGTGCGCAACCCTACTGCAGACCAAGTCCATTCCATCCAGCGGTCGACCCCAAAGACGCATTCATCAACTTTAACATGCTACTCATTCAAAATAGAAATGTTATCAAATATAAATTAATATTGTTATATATTAGCATATTGTGCATATTTAGGCATCGGTTAGGTTAGGTGTTTAGGTTCTGTTGGCGATTATTTGTATTTGTAGTACGTGGGTGAAGCATTTACAGCGTTGTGGTTCGAACAAAAGTCGCCAGCGAAGCACTTGTTCCGGAAGTGTTCGAACATCATCAGTTGTAAGTCGTGTGTAAACAGCTTTTCATTCATAAACAGGGGGTTTGGTGGGTACATGGAATGGATTTTGGTCTTTGCTTATGAGAACGGGCTGCAGTGTGTGCATGATGACTTTACAGAGTTGCAATTCGAACAGAGGACAGCAGCGAAGCACTGTTCGAGAAATGTTTGAACGTCATTAATTGTGATTCGTGTGTTGGGGTTTGACGGGTGGATAAATGAGCATTTTGACATTGTTTACGATAACGGGCTGTGTTTATGATGACAAGCTGATAAGATAATTCGTTCTCAATCTTCCTCTGAGGCGGAGTCGAATTCCTGAAAATCACTTGCGTTTTGCTCCTCAAATTCGTCTGAATCATCTGACTCGACTGACTCTACTGATTCCAGAGAGTCTATTGATCCCTCATAGGTGACTCTGGGCTTGTATCCAGAGCTCCCGCTGACGGTGAAGACCACCTGTTGCAGGCGTCCGTCGGGGAGCACAACGAAGTACCTTCCTTGTGTGTCGTCCCCGTCTCGGCTCTCCTCGTGTCCGTACTCGTTGCTTGATGGGTCGTGATCGACGCGCCATTCGAAGCTGTACTTGGCTTCTGAAGCCTCTCCAGCCCCTTGTGTGGACACCTGCAATGGGAAAAAACTTAAATCAAATGTTGTTAGCAATTGAATTCTCATACCCAAGGAAATCATAATATCGAGATATTGCTATCGTAATATATCGCACGTTCTGGATAACCCCCGACGCGCGCCTTAACCTGTGGACCACAATATGATAAAGGTTATACAACCCAGGGTTGACCCGGATCCACTAGGAGTCGGGAGGCACCAAGCTGGTAGCCAGTTCAAGTTTTACATATAACCTGCATGTACTCTGGTGTAGGTAGTGGAGTTACGTTCGCCAAGCGATCCTTTCATACAAATTTCTCACATAAATTCTCATGAGAATTTCTTACAGTCGACTTGAGAATGGTCCAGGACGGACCGAAACGTAAAACGTCCCTTCATTTTCTAGTGTGTGGATTGGTCAACATACTTCAGCCACGTTAATGTGATTCATCGCCTGCATAAATTCTCAGTTATACTAAAATGCAATTCAAGTATAAAGACGACTTTGACAGCAGGTGCTTTGAATATTGGTTAATTTAGCTTACAGGTGAGTAATAATTTTTCGGTTATACTGACTTGCTTCGGATATAATATAATGTTCTTTATATGCATACAAGTGATAGAAGTTATCGTACAGAGGAATGAAGTATTTGCTATGTTTTATATAATTGTTTCTGATAATGGTAAATATTCTTATGGGTAATTGAACTGATAGGCAAGTTATATCGTTACCTAAGTGAGGAGAAGGGGATAGGGGAATGTTTGTTTACATCTTGCCTGTGTGTAGAAGGGGGACGATAGGTTAATCCCTTGTTTGTATAATTGGGTGAAGAAGATGAGCTCCTTGCCTGAATATTAGGTATAATAGTGGAGCACATGTCTATGGCGGGTGTTAGAGCCACACACATGTGCTCCACTATTATATATAATTATTTATGTATAATGTACTTAATTATATATATTCCATTATATATATTATAACTGTGTGTAACTGGGGAATATTTGAGTACCAAACCCATTAGTGTCAGGGGTAATAGGGGAGTACCTTGGCTAAGATTCACATTGTCTACTTACGAAACCTGTACATCTTTCCTCAATCACAGCGGCTTTGTTTACATTTGTTTGTTTACGAGCCTGAAAACTTCACCACGCAAGGTTATTATTATTATAAACAATCTCTTTTTGTTTATAGCTAGGGGGTCATAGGCTAACCTGTGCTAATAAAGAAAGTTAATTAGCTGCTTACCTGGGTAAATGGAGGATTGTAGCTGAAGGAGGTGTCTGCGGCGACTCTGGTCGCCACACACAGCACTAGAACGGCTTCCTGAAGGTGTTTATCATTTATCTTATTATATATTCTATTAAATATATGCACTTTGTTGCATTAAACTGTTATGTCACGTGAATCGGATGTGCATCTATATGGTGCTGAGCTTATAAGGCCTCTCAACCTCTGGAGGGTTATTAAGTCCACCACCATACCTTATGCAACAACCAGTAAGTATTCTTTAATCCTGAACATAGTACAGGACTAAAGTAAACTTTCAGTGTGAATATATACTCCAAGTATACTCCACGTTGTATATATATCCTTGTATATCCAGGGTATATTAATATCCAGGGTATATATATATATATATATATATATATATATATATATATATATATATATATATATATATATATATATATATATATACCCTGAAGTATATTTTGCAAGATGAGAACTAATGAGGTAGATATATACTCTCGATTAGAGAGTGGAACAACCACTTAATAGCCTATTTACTGCTTAATTATCATACCATCCTACCCAGGCGACTGCCCTTTCAAAGCCCACCTTGAACTCTTATAGTCCTCCCCCCAAAACATATACCTGACCTTTTTTCCAAATTAGCTTACCTGTGGACACGTTGCTTGCAGCTTGCATCAATGCTAAGCTTAATGATTAGATTTATCAACCGATCAATCGAGCTGGGGATATATTGGTGGGTTTCTATATTGATCGAATGACCGAGTTTCATGATTAATTGATGGATTGTTTGAATTAATTAATGGCATATTCAAAATCTGTAAATTCAAGCTTTTTTGAATGTAATTAAAATAGGACTGAGTTAGGTTAGGTTAGGTTAGAGTGGGATTGATTAGGTGAAGTGCACAACACAATCAGGTAAGCACACACTTAGTATACATTATTAGTACACACTACTCGACATTACTAGTACACACTGCTCGACATTACTAGTACACACTACTCGACATTACTAGTACACACTGCTCAACATTACTAGTACACACTACTCGACATTACTAGTACACACTGCTCGACATTACTAGTACACACTGCTCAACATTACTAGTACACACTGCTCGACATTATTAGTACACACTGCTCGACATTATTAATACACACTGCTCGACATTATTAGTACACACTGCTCGACAATATTAGTACACACTGCTTGGTATTATTAGTACACACTGCTCGACATTATTAGTACACACTGCTCGACATTATTAGTACACACTGCTCGACATTATTAGTACACACTGCTCGACATTATTAGTACACACTGCTCGACATTATTAGTACACACTGCTCGACATTACTAGTACACACTGCTCGACATTATTAGTACACACTGCTCGACAATATTAGTACACACTGCTTGGTATTATTAGTACACACTGCTCGACATTATTAGTACACACTGCTCGACATTATTAGTACACACTGCTCGACATTATTAGTACACACTGCTCGACATTATTAGTACACACTGCTCGACATTATTAGTACACACTGCTCGACATTATTAGTACACACTGCTCGACATTATTAGTACACACTGCTCGACATTATTAGTACACACTGCTCGACATTATTAGTACACACTGCTCGACATTACTAGTACACACTGCTCGACAATACTAGTACACACTGCTCGACATTATTAGTACACCCTGCTCGACATTATTAGTACACACTGCTCAACATTATTAGTACACACTGCTCGACATTACTAGTACACACTGCTCGACATTACTAGTACACACTGCTCGACATTACTAGTACACACTGCTCAACATTACTAGTACACACTGCTCGACATTACTAGTACACACTGCTCGACATTACTAGTACACACTGCTCGACATTACTAGTACACACTGCTCGACATTACTAGTACACACTGCTCGACAATACTAGTACACACTGCTCGACATACCTTCCAGTTCATGTTGTTGAGGTCCCGCTGCTAAGTGGGTGTCGAGCTACAGGTCCCAAGAGTTATATACTCCAGGACGAACTCTTTCCAAGAACTTGAGGTCGTCTAGCACGAGTTTTTACCCGAGGATGTGGGCCACTCCTGGTCTTGTCATCTGTTGGTCTCGTTCTGAAGCACTGACTTTCAACCTGAGGATAAAATCAAGGCGTTTATGCCTGTCTTGCAAGCTCATTTGCATATTCGTCCAAAGTAGGATTAACTGACCTGTGATTAGAGATATCATGAATGATTGGTTATTCATTATACTAATGGGTAGTGGATTTACACTTTTTTAAAGCGAGACTTGTGGCTTTCTGGCAAACTCCTTTGCATATCTGTGCAAAGTGGAAATAATTGGCTTATGATTGATGGAGGATTGACTAAATATGTAGGAATATAAAGTTTTCATTTGTATAGATTTTTATAATGTTTGACTAAATTTAAATAAAAATTTTTAAGACAACTGCTAAAATTGTTCCTTTGTTGCTATTTTAATCGAAATTCGTTATAAAATTCGTTATTAAATAAAATAATATTATTAAATAAAATTAATAAATACTACTATTATTAAATAGTAGTTTTATTTGAGTCTTAAAACCGTTTAGTGTATATAGTATACCTTGTCCTCATATACCAGGAGGTGGGATATGAGGACAAGGAGTTGGGATATGAGGACTGTACCGTGATATACTGTATATGTATACAGGAGTGTATACTGTTCAGTATACAAAATACATAAGTGTCTTATACAAGTGAACCATATATGCACTTAACCTTTTGCCTTCAAAAAGTTGGTAATAAGTTTCTGATATACTGAAGTGTGCTCCAAATAGAGACAAATTTTACTAAACACGTTAATCTAGCCATGACATTAACGACATGAAGGTTAGAGTTGATCAGTCTATCAGGCCTCCCAAGCTACTCTCTCGCTTTTTTAGAAAAAGATCTAAAAATGATGAGGATGAAAATGAACTTGTATGTTTTGATGAAGCAAACTTAAAGGATAGTTATAGGATAAAGGATATTTAAAGAATATTTATAGGATATGTAATGAATATATAAAGAATATTATAGGATATTTAAGGGATATTTAAAGGATAAAAAATGGTAATTCAGGAGAAACTTGGTGCTCATTGGTGTTCTACCGGCTGTCAGAAGACCCTCGGCTCTAAAGAGTTTTCTACAGGCTGTCTGGTAAAGCTTGATGATAGGGTGGTTTCTACAGCCTGTCTGGTAAAGCTTGATGATAGGGGGGTTCTACAGGCTGTCAGGTAAAGCCAGGTATTAAGCAGCGTCTATTCAGGCTGCCAAGTGAAGCCTGTTTCCAGGAGGCACTACAGACTGTCAGGAACTTGATATCTCAACACCTGAAGGTTAACAGTAGCAGAAGTAACCTTGACACTGTGGACGGTGGTAATAATCTTGATGGAACTTGCTCCTACAAGTTCAGACACCTCCCGCTGAATGCAAGGCAAGGACTGCCTTTGTGTAAAATAAATCCTGAAAAAGGTCCGTATTTACGTTTAATTTGTTTAATCCTCGTTGTCGGGGACAAGAAGCCTATACTTAGGCTTATCTAGGTCCCCCCTCCCCCATGTTCAACTAGTGACCTTTCCCCAGGATGCTGCCCACAACAGTTGCCTAACTCACATGTGCCTATTAACTCCTAGGTAAACAAAGGCATATCAGGTTTTAAGAAAACTTTGCTCAATATTGAAAATGGTTTGTTTTGGAGATGGTCTGCTCGTCTCTCTTTCCCTAGGGAGGTTGAGCTCCTCAGAAACACGTGGATCAGTCCACCTCCGGATGGAGTACCACGGGAGGGTTCACACAGTAGTGATGTGGTGGAGGCTGACTCCATGCACAGTTTTAACTGTAGATATGACAGAGCTCAGTAGGCTCAGGAGTCTGTACATCAGTTGATTGACGGTTGAGCGGCGGGACCAAAGAGCCAGAGCTCAACCCCCGCAAACACAACTAAGTGAGTTACTAGGTGAGTACAAGGTGGTGTGAGGGGGTGGAGGCCGGTACAGGTCCCCACTCGCCCTCTCCTCAGCATTTACCATCTTTAATATAGTCGCTCCATGCTGTAAATTTTTACAGCATGGAGCGAGCCCTGATGTAAAAGATAAGCTGACCCAGCTGGTGACCTTCACGGTGCTTGACTGGATCCTGCTTCAGAACTTACTGACCTACCTTGAGAGCACAAACGGCCGAGTCCTTCAAAGATTCATCCTGTAGGATCTATAGTCTCAATTAGTCGACTTGATCACTAGTCGTGTACCTATAGAAGTTAAGAAGTTCTCTGTACCTAGAGAGGTTAATCTAGTACATGAGATCTTGTAGGATGAAACTTTAACCATCCTTTATCACCCTTACGCGCTCGCGTGAGGGTGAGGCTTTGCAGCTGCGGATATAGCCGATGTGTATATAATCTGAGACACTGTTGCGGGTACAATCTGATTTTGCCTGCCTGCGAAAAGAGGGCAGGCAGGCTGGAAGGCAGGCTGGCAGGCTGGCAGGCAAGCCGGCAGGCAAGCCGGCAGGCAAGCCGGCAGGCTGAGAGGAAGGCTCGCAGCCAGACTCGCACTTAGGCAGGCCTTACCCTACAGATATCTGAAATTATTACTCGTGGCTAGATAGACTACTCGTAGGTAGACAGACTATAACTCGTTACTAGACAGACTACTAGCTAGTAGACTACTAACTAGTAGACAGAGTACTGGCTAGTAGACAGACTACTCGTGTACCAGACAAACTTCTCGTTGCTAGGGTACACTACTAATGATCCAGTAGAGTAATTGTGACTAGATAGATTTTTTATGACTTATAAGGTGACGCCTTGCTAAGTAAACTAGTTGTAATAAAGTAATGCTAATTATATTACCAAAAGTGAATTTACCTTTATTAAGAGAGCAACAATAGAGAAACTTGCTACAATGCCGTAGCGCTTCACAGTAACAATATGACAAAAAATATTACAAAAACGTGATCATCTTTAAATATTTACTTTAATAGAAAATAGGACGCCAGACGGGGCTAGTGCACTCATAGAAAACGGAGAAGTGACCCCCTCTCCCTTCAGCCCGTCCTCTTAAAGTTTCCCAACGTCAAGAAACTGTCGTATTAAAGTGCTCTTATCCTAATCTACCAGAGGACCCAAAAGAGATAACGGGACAGTATGTCAATTTCGCGAGCCGTTTTCATTTTCCAATACGACGATTTTTGGCCTTAGGTAACGTATACGTCAAAATCTGACGTTCTTTTGCTTGTTTACTCAAAAGGTCAAGTGATCATTGTTGACAGATTTTCCTCAGAACTGACACTCTCCTTCAACTGGAATATGTAATGTTATATGTACGAGTATATGTTCTTAGTGAAGAGAGCATCGGTGTAATTCTCCTCAGTCCTGCCATTGCATAGAGAGGAGAGATTTCGAACATTGGAAGTAAGCGAAGCACTGTTCGATAATGTTTCGTTTAGTTAGTTGTTAACTAGTCAACAGTTAGTTGTGAGTCAAGTGCGTTTTCAATCATAAACAAGAGGTAGTTGCTGTAATAGATGTTAAACCCCCTGTGTGTGAATGAAAACACCTTGCAACTTATTTTTGGTTGACGTCAATCTTGATTGTCAAGATTGCCAATCTTGACAATCGGGAATCATGGGGCAGAACAGAAGTGGTTGGGCACGCTTCCTCTCATGTAATTCCTATATTCACCTCGCTGTTGATAGATAGCCGGGAGCTAAGCAACTGATGTGGGGTTGCATTCTGGGAAAGGTCAGTAGGTCGACCTACGCGGGTTCCTCGATATAACCCCAAGGTATATATATATATATATATATATATATATATATATATATATATATATATATATATATATACAGACTTCCTGCCACCGACAAAAACTAATTATAAAAAAGTTATAATTTTCTGAACACTACTTTGCTCAGTTCATGTGTTCGAATCCCATTCCTCTAAATACCTCATCCAAGTTCTGTAAATACATAAAGAAAATTCAGAATGATAGGATCTTAGGCAAATATATTCTAGACCTATCTACACACAAAATTGTAATATACATCAAAATCAATCTATTTTCGAAAAAGTATCAGTTTTGGTTACATATTGTGTTAAAGTTGACGAAAGCATCATTGAGCTTGGCCGAGTTCAGCCAGAAAATGGGTTGGGATTGGCAGTACATCAGACGAGCATTATCAGAGTCTGGGTTGGAATAGGCAGCAACTTAGATGAGTTGTTTCATAAAATTAATAGGCAAAAAATTTGGTTTTGTATAGTCACGTGTATACAAAACAGTGTCATATATGAGAGGCAGGCATGTGTGTTTGTCACGTGTGTAGAAGTCATAAATGAGCGGGGCCTGAGAATGCCGTATGTGGATAAGAGCCAAGAATGACAGGCTTGTGTATACTACTTGTGTAAAAGAGAGATATATAGGAGGCTTGTTTACGCCACATGTGTAAAAGCCATATGTACTATCTTCGTAAAACGTGACGAATATGTTTTTAAACCAAGAACTTCTACTGGATTGAGATGTATCTAAACAAGTATTTACAAAATATATTTAATTTATTTTTCCATTGAACTTCACAGAAATACAGTTGTCAAAAAAAATATATATATAAATACTCAATATTGATAATTGCCTAGAATGACACCAGAAACCATTCAAGAGTATCGACTATATTTTTGATCATTGGAGGTACTCCTGAAGGGTTCTGGAGGTCCTCTAGCTGGCCTGCAGAGGGCGTCCACAGAGGTCCTCTAGCCGTACACTGGCCTGCGGGGGGCGTACTCGAAGGACTCAAAGGAGCGAGATTCTTGTGACTCCGGGTAGCGAGCCTCGCCCTCGTAGGAGACTTCGGCCACGTAGCCTGAGTCGCCGTCCACGAAGAAAGTCACCTTCTGCAGACGACCGTCCGGAAGCTGAACGTAGTATGAACCCTTAGTGTCGTCACCGTCGCGGGCCTCCTGGTGACCGAAGTCGTTGCTTGACGGGTCGTGATCAACAGCCCAGTTGAAGCTGTATTTAGCTTCCGTAGACTCAAATGATTCTTCCGAGGATTCCTGAAATTCACAATTCAGTAAATACAAAGAAGTAAAGGTCCTGTATAGCCTAAATTGAGCACTATTTTAAGTAATTAAAGACTAAAATATACAAAAGTAGTATTTTAAGGTATATTTTTCATCCATTTAAATAATCTAGCCAATCCAATAGAGAAATCATTCCCGTTGTCAGAGGCAGGAAACCTGTATTCAAGCTTATCAAGGCACTTAGTAGATGCCTCTATACTGGCATACATATGTGTTCATTTACAGGCCCTCAAATATAGACTTAAGAAGAATTAAGGGAACTACAAAAAAGTCTATTGGCCCATATGAGACAGCTTCTATTTATATTCACCCAAACTCATTCAAATATGGGTAATCTACGCTTGAAATAATTCATCGATCACACTACTGTTAATTTACCCGGAAATTTGTTTTACAAATCTACACTTTTGTTTCCAAACCAGTAGTTACCCAGGTCTTTCCGGAATCTAAACTCGTCCAATTTATAAGACATAAACTGTCTTGAGAGACTGCGAGCATCATTATATTATAAGTAATTATCATTGCAAATTTCTAAGCTAGTGCAAATCATTATATCATATATGTCTAGATCATTATAGCACATAATCTAGTGTAAATTCTAATACCATATAAGTACTATAAATTCTTATGTCATAAAAGCTAGTGTAAATTCTTATACCATATAAGCTAGTGTAAATTCTAATACCATATAAGCTAATTTAAATTCTTATACCATATAAGCTAGTGTAAATCATTATCTCTCAGCTCACCTGGGGAGCACCGTAGGAGAATGAGGGCCGTCTGTCAGCGGAAGCTAAGGCCGCCAAACACAGTAGGCCCACCAGGACGATCTGAAAAAAGAATCATTATCTAGCTGGCTAATTGTCTGTTTAGTTTAACCCAAATAGGAACAGATAAGTGTTATCAAAAGGTAATTTTTTGTAGTGTGTGTAGGTATGTGATAGTGTCCTTTTAGTACATATATAAAGGCAGATCATAGACGCTGGTACTTAACCCCATCGAAATAAAGAACTAAGAGCAGTCCGTATAGGCCTCAACCCGCTGATTGAGACTCACCTTAGTGTTCATGTTGAGGGTGAGTGAGTGAGTGATGTGGATCCAGCCTCCACTTTGCCTTATATACCTCATCGTTGAACTCCGACACAACTCTGACCCCTTCATCTTGTTACTACGTAAGGTCAATTTTTTCCCTTCGTGTCAGCGAACTTTCGGACCAGTTGCGTGTTTCATAATCTTAAGTTTCTCGGTTATGTGATATAAGGAGAGTGGGAAGTGGTCGGTTAGACCACTGATACTGCTGTTATTATTACTACTACTGTTACTACTGCTACTACTACTACTACTACTACTAATAATAATAATAATAATAATAATAATAATAATACTTCATATGCATATGATTATTATTATAATAATAGCAGCAATGACAATAATAATAAAAATAATAATAATAATAATAATAATAATTTCGAAGATTATGAAAATCCCTTTTTTCTTGAAATTTATAAGTTTTTTTCAACAAGAAAGATATATTAAATATTTCTGAAACTATCTTCCTTCACACAAATAATTTTTTCTCGAAACCTTCAAGTTCCCTATAGTTAATAATTATGCAGTAGGCCTGTTATCTTGTAGATGACACTGGTCAACCTTGTTCAGAACCAGAAACATACGAACCCAAGCAACCCACCTAACCTCTCAAGTCCATTGCATAGAAACCATCAATATTAAGGTGGTTTAATTTTTACTAATGCATCGCATTGTTCACGCATTCGTCGATTCCGTTACAAAATTTACCTAAAAGGTGAGAGGACAGGTATGTGTGTGTGTGTGTGTGTGTGTGTGTGTGTGTGTGTGTGTGTGTGTGTGTGTGTGTGTGTGTGTGTGTGTGTGTGTGTGTTACTATTTGTCTTATTGAAGTCTTCATGACTCAGGATCACTACTTGGATTTTGCATTGAAGTCTCCAAGATTACTACTTGGATTTTGCATTGAAGTCTCTGTAGTGTTATTGCTCTTTTTTCTCTCTTATTATTTCTGTACGTATGAAAATACGCACACACACACACTCACACACACACACACACACACACACACACACACACACACACACACACACACACACACACACACACACACACACACACACACACACACACACACACACACACACACACACACACACACACACACACACACACACACACACACACACACTGTCCTCGCTGGTCGTAATCCAAAGAGTCCAGGTTGATTGCGGGCCGAGGCAGAAACAACTGGGAAGTTTCTTTCACCTAATGAACCTGTTCACCTAGCAGTAAATAGGTACCTGGGAGTTAGACAGCTGCGACGGGTTGAAGCCTAGGGATGTGTGTCTGTGTTAGAGAGAAAAATATGTAATAGATACGATACTAGAAAATTGGTCGAGAATCAGTACTTTAGATAACCAATGAATAGAAAATTGGGTTCCAAGAGCTAACAGCTCGATCCTGCAAGCAAAATAGTAAATACACACAAACACGTAAAATAATAATACACTTGCTGTATAAAGTGACTGATTTTGCATGAAACTTTTTAATTTAAAAATATATAATATTCATTAGAATCTACTGTAGTATATATTTTTTATCTCTGAATATAGTAGAACAAAAACACGGTATAATAATGCCAACGAACCTTAATGATTTTCTTGATGTCTCTCTAGAATTTCCTGAATGCATGACTGACATTTTATGAGTAGTATTAGCAAGGTCAAGAATTGAATTCAGTTACACTAATTCACTAGTTTTAGTGACTAGTTAGGGTCCTCGTGTGTCAATGTTGATGTGATTGGATATTACCTGAGTGTGCTTATAGGTAGTAATAACCTGCTGAAGGTGAGGGAAAATGATCCTTCCATACACGAGCCTCACGAAGTGGAGATATGTGACCTTCTTGCTTCGCCTGACCTTGTTATCTCATTGCCCCGCCCTGAATTGCCACCGGAGGTATTGGTAGCTGGGGTGTTTCTCTCAATTACTGTGTCTGTCTGTCTGTCTGTCTGTCTGTCTGTCTGTCTGTCTGTCTGTCTGTCTGTCTGTCTGTCTGTCTGTCTGTCTGCCTCTGTCTCTGTCTCTATCTATGTCTCTGTCTATGTCTCTCTCTGTCTCTCTCTGTCTCTCTCTCTCTCTCTCTCTCTCTCTCTCTCTCTCTCTCTCTCTCTCTCTCTCTCTCTCTCTCTCTCTCTCTCTCTCTCTCTCTCTCTCTCTCTCTCTCTCTCTCTCTCTCTCTCTCTCTCTCTATCTCTCTCTCTCTCTCTCTCTCAATATGTATATGGTTGGATGTGGTGTAATCTACACTGGAGGCACAACGTGTGTGTGTCAGGGTTGGGCGTGGGCCAACTGGAGTCTGTAGGCACAACGTGAGAGTCTAATCTCTCTCCTACAAGTGGGTAATCACCCACGACTCTTGACCCAAACACAACTCCATTATCAAGCAGCCCGTTCTCTCGATTTACCCCCCCCCCCTTCCCCCTTAACAAATGCTGTGGTTTAGCATAACCAAAAGCGTCAAAAACTAGCCGACCACCAGAGCCGATAGTAATCATTCCCAGAAGCATCAACATTGCAGTGCTTTTACTTCCCTAAACCACAGCAAATATTATGGTGGTTACTGCCCCAGTGGTTCTTAATTCTATTAATGTCTGTATAGTGGCATTAACTCATGAGCAAATGTTCCATACCAGAGGTTCAAGGAATATATTTCTCGTGACCCCATATTGTTCCATAATGTAACATTATTTATCGTCTCAGTATCTCTGACCCATGACCTGATAGAGCGGAAAAGCGGGCTCTATAATCTCTGCAATGTGCACTCGTAAATGTGCAAGGCTCACTGTTGCAACGAGATAACGGCATGAAGACTTTATTATCGCTTACATAAGCCTTTAAGGCGAAATTTCTGAATTACCCCAACACAAATTATTTTTGTCTTACCGGAGACTTTCAATATCGATTTTTTTCGGCCTCTAATGCAAAAAGTATTGTGTAAATTGCAAATAAAGGTAATTTATGCATTGGGCACTCTTGGGTCAGGGAGGTCATATAGGGTTAGGGAGGGCTTATGGGGTTATACCAAGTCATACCAAGGTTTGGTTGGCATGGCCAAGTTCTGGATGGTATGACCAAGTACTGGATGGTTTGACCAAGTTCTGGATAGTATGGACAAGTTTTGGTTGGTATGACCAAGTTCTAGGAGGTATGACCAAGTTCTCGATGGTTTGACCACGTTCTGGATAGTATAAACAAGTTCTGGTTGGTATAAACAAGTTCTGGCTCGTATGCAGAAGTTCTGAATGGTATGAACAAGTTCGGGAAGGAATATCAATGTTCTGGCTGGTATGAACAAGTCAAGTTCTGGCTGGCATGAACAAGTTCTGGCTGGTACGAACAAGTTCTGGAAGTTATGACAAAGTTCTGGCTGTCATAAACAAGTTCTGGAAGGTATGAGCAAGTTCCATCCTTCAATATTTATAAACAAAGGAGTCGAATCTTATTTTTCTCAACGTAAAAGCAATAAAGTGGACTTCCCTAACGTTAAACTTGACATTTAAGAACCAACAGATATTAACTCTCAATGTTTGCATATTTAGACTCTTAAAATAGCACTTGGAGAAGTCTGTACTTGTGAAATATATCAAACTTGTTATCTTTATATAGTGCTTACCTCACAGCGAGTTGTTATAAAAAAATACAACTGAGGATGGCCTCTGAAAGTTGCTCTTGAGGTCTAGGGCAAGCTTGGATGATATACATACTAGATCAACCTTGGAACATATGCATACTAGAGAGAGTAACAAACGTACAAAGTGGTGAAATGGAGCGCTCCTGTTAGATGATTTAAGTTGAAGAGTTGTTTGTAAATATTCTTTAAACAGGAGGGTTGAATCCTTGCTACATGCAGCTGATTAAATAAATTAGGCTGAAATTGTTAACTCTATCGTCTTTCTATGCCTATTTTATTACATATAAAGAATTATTGTACTGTAATTTTCAAAAATGATTGAATTTTGAGGTAACTAGTGGATAATATACACCTCTTGTAGACTTCATGCGGTTCATTCGGACTCTTTGCAGCTCTTCCGGACTCCATATCCGTAGGAGTGAGACGATAACTCCACTATCAGTCTTCACGTTATCTTAACTAGCGATAACCTTGTATTTTATCCACTTCCCATCTTGGTTACGTCAACAAGCAACAAATTCTCTCTCTTAACAAGACCCACATGTCTTGGTTCATAAGCTTGTTTGATCTGTTATCGTATCTCAAAGTATAACGTACAAAAAATGATTCGATCTTTTGCACAAAGACGGACATTATAATGGTTAATTTCCATGTTAATATAAATTTATTGTGAAAAGTACATATAGATCAGGTAATTTTTTTCATTGCATTTTTGTAATATAATTTGCATCTTGTATTATATATAATTTTTGTGTTTTCGTAAGTTTTATTTTACGTCCAAAAGAAATAGTATGTTTTATCTTTATAAATTAGGTATTCACTGCATCAAAGGGATATAAATATTTTTAGGGTTAATTTTTCATCAAGTTTTTAATTATATTTATATATAGAATACAACAATTAATATATGTAAATGTAAATATATATATACTCTCTAAATAAATATATAAAAATAATTTTCTCTAGAAGGATATGTTGTTCTCTTGAATGTTTAGATGGTAAGTTCTATCCATAGGTGGGTCTTGGAGGAGCGTAGCGTGGAGCTTCACGGGACTCGTAAGACTCATCGGAGTCTGGGTAGCGAGCCTCGCCCTGGTAGGAGACTTGGGCCACGTAGCCTGAGTCACCGTCCACGTAATAAGTCACGGTCTGCAGACGACCGTCGGGAAGCTGCACGTAGTACGACCCCTTGGTGTTGTCACCGTCGCGGGTCTCCTGGTGACCGAAGTCGTTGCCGGAGTCTTCGTGTTTCACAGCATAGTTAAAGTTGTACTGAGCCTCACTTGACTCATACGACTCCTCGGATGATTCCTGTAAGAGCGAATGATATCATTTGCAACACACTGTCAATGTGAGCATGCCTGAGCCTAAATTCATGATTTAGAACCCACAGGGCTTACCCATTAGTGTAGAAAATAAGTGATATGCAAATCTCTGATATTTGACGTTTGTTTCCATACAAATGTGTCAAGAGGGTGTTTCCTTGCGGTAGTTGCTACCTACCTGAGGAGCTGCGTAGAAAGTCGGGCGTCTGTCAGCTGTTACGGCGGCTGCTAGGCACAGCATCATTATCAGCTAGAGAGAGAGAGAGAAAGACAAACAGAGAGACAGTCAGCGAGAAAGGCAGACAGAGATAGAAAGAGAAAGAAACAAAGAGACAGATCAGAAGAAAGGAAAAAAACTAAATTAATATATTTTTCAACAACAATAAAAAAAATCAATCTTACCCCAAGAAATATACAATATTTTCAATGTTTACAATGTGAAGCGGAAGAGACTGCACGTTGCAGACCTACCCACCTTTGCAACCATCATGCTTACTCTCTGGAGACTATACTGTGAGATCGTGAACGTGGTTTCCTGTATATATACCCACATCGTGAGTGCCTCCACGGTCAAACGTTTTTACACGACCTTTAAGTTGGCCACAAGAGAAACATTGTTTTATAACAGTCATTTGTCTTATGCACTTAAAAAAGAAGTGTAAGTTTCTCAAGAGGGTGTTGTAAGAGATTTCCTTATATATCCTCTGTAAATGCACTCAGAATATTAAAAAAAAACAATAAATACACTCAAGGTCATTCTTCGAGCCTTCCTTACCAAGCGAAGTATTGGGCGGGGCTCCTTTCCCTGTGTTTTGTCTCGGGTATTGCACTGCGAGTCTGCATGCTGGTTTGGGTCACCTGCCCCGCCACGCTCCAAGCCACACGTATCGTTATCGGAAAACCGCATCGATCGGTATTTCGGAGCGTTCAGTGAAAGCTGCATTGTGAACGCTTTTGAATATCGGGAATAACAGGAGAGTTATATAATGCGTTGGTGTATTGTTGCTGTATTTTATACTTCAGCGTTGTCTCTGTTTGTGTACTTTGTGTTATTGGTGTTGTCACTTTTACTGTAATTTAGTGATATTGTATATGATGTTTTTATTACTGTACCTAGTGTATCCTCTGTTACTGTACCTAGTGTAGCCTCTGTTGCTGTACCTAGTGTATCCTCTGTTGCTGTACCTAGTGTATCCTCTGTTACTGTACCTAGTGTATCCTCTGTTGCTGTACCTAGTGTATCCTCTGTTGTTGTGCCTAGTGTAGCCTCTGTTGCTGTACCTAGTGTAGCCTCTGTTGTTGTGCCTAGTGTAGCCTCTGTTGCTGTACCTAGTGTAGCCTCTGTTGCTGTACCTAGTGTAGCCTCTGTTGTTGTGCCTAGTGTAGCCTCTGTTGCTGTACCTAGTGTAGCCTCTGTTACTGTACCTAGTGTAGCCTCTGTTGCTGTACCTAGTGTATCCTCTGTTGCTGTACCTAGTGTATCCTCTGTTGCTGTACCTAGTGTAGCATCTGTTGCTGTACCTAGTGTAGCCTCTGTTGCTGTACCTAGTGTATCCTCTGTTGCTGTACCTAGTGTAGACTCTGTTGCTGTACCTAGTGTAGCCTCTGTTGCTATACCTAGTGTATCCTCTGTTGCTGTGTACCTAGTGTAGACTCTGTTGCTGTACCTAATGTAGCCTCTGTTACTGTACCTTGTGTAGCCTCTGTTGCTGTACCCAGTGTAGCCTCTGTTGCTGTACCTAGTGTAGCCTCTGTTGCTGTACCTAGTGTAGCCTCTGTTGCTGTACCTAGTGTAGCCTCTGTTGCTATACCTAGTGTATCCTCTGTTGCTGTGTACCTAGTGTAGACTCTGTTGCTGTACCTAATGTAGCCTCTGTTACTGTACCTAGTGTAGCCTCTGTTGCTGTACCTAGTGTAGCCTCTGTTGCTGTACCTAGTGTAGCCTCTGTTGCTGTACTTAGTGTAGCTTCTGTTGCAAATCTGGTAGTGCACTATATAACTGGTAGTTCACAGTAACTGCAGTGCATAGTAACTGGTGGTACACAGTAATTGAAGTGCACAGTAACTGGAAGTGAAAATTAATTGCAAATGCACAATAACTAGAAATGCACATTAGCTATAAGTGCAGTTAATCGCAAAGCCACATTAGCTACATAAAATCAGCCATATGCACAAAATTCCTCAATAGAAGAAGTTTCTTTCAGAAGTCTGAACAAGAAATTATTAATTACACTAAATACGTCAGACCAGTGCTAGAATATGCAGTGCCATCACGGAGACCTCATCACGCCCACCAGCTGAGACGATCGCGGTGGGCGTGGCAGCCCGTCCCAACACCTGATACCACGTACCCTGGAGAGGTATGAGGTAAGAGCCTGGGTATCAGGACTAGGCTTCATCAAGCATTTATACAACCATTTACGAAACCTGTACATCTTTTCTCAACTCATAAGCTCTGAAATAAATGTAAACAAAGCCACCATGGTTTTTGAAAGATGTATTTGTTTAATACTTGGATGCTCATAATTGCTTAATTAATCCTGGCCTCAGTCTGTACAGAAGGAATAATCACCAATTTATATTCCATGTCCACGAGCTTTTAATCGTGGACATGGCACGACAAAGAGCCATGTCTTTTATGTCCATGTCTTTTGTGTCTACTTCCTCCCCGACTAACACACAATATACCCGCAGTGTTGAAGCAACTTTCTGACGCTGCCACAACTTAGGAACAACGTCGGACAATAACGTTACGAATATTTTGTGGACTTGCTGGAAAGTAGCCATTATTAACTGCAAAGAAAGATTTATAGTTTCTTAATGCAAACATGATTTCTCAGTCCATCGGTACGGCGGAAGCAGGAGGAGAGGAAGAATGTTCGACTCACTGAGTTTCTGTACGAGGGGAGAAGGAAAGCTGCTGTATTCCCTCAGATACGGGTGAAAATGAAGTGCCTTGTATCCCTCAAATACAGTAGGTGAGGATGAAGCCTCTTGTTTACCTTAAATACAGTAGGGAGAGGATGAAAGACCTTGAATTCTTTAAATACAATAACAGAGATTGATGAACACTACATCCCTTAAATACTGTGGTAGAAATTGAAGGATCCTTGTATCCCGGATATATATAGTGAAGTGGATCGTCAGGGTGTTACAGACTACAGACTTGGAACCCACGAAGGGTGACTTATCTTCTGATAGTTCCTGTCTAACTACAGTGGAGATATTCAGAGTAAAATGAACTTACCCTTTTTAAGAAAAACTTATGTTATTAAAAGGATAGATTTTCTAGAGTCTACAGGTATGCAAACAGCTATTGTTTAACGTCTGTAAACTACTATGTGGTTAACGTCTGTAAACTGCTATGGGGTTAACGATATCTGTAAACAGCTTCAGTATTTTGACATCTGTAAACAAGTATTATCTCATGTCTGTAAACAGCTATTGTTTAAACTATTGTGGTGGCCTTAATAACCCTCTAGAGGTTGATAGGTTCTTAAGCCCAACAAAAACCCTGCTGGTTATTCAGTAGGCATTCTGGTGACCTTAATAACCCTACAGAGGTTGATAGGCCTTAAGCTCAACACCAAAACATAGTAACAAATGCCATTGTGCAACGAAACTTCCAAGTACAATAAAGTTTTTGTACAACATAATTAAACGCTTGATGCGAGAGACTGACAACGCCTTAATATTATAAAACAGCTTGAAATATTTCAGCGTCTCCATATCCAGCATTAGCTTTCACTTCCAGATGGTAACCTAGTTCGCGCAGCTTACCAATGTACAGGTGAACTAAGACCACACAAAAACTGGTTACGTACGGAGGAGGGGAAGGTTGTGACTTTAGTTCAGACCCCCACGAAGAGTTCCTGCTTTCTTAAAAATTGTCTGAAGCATCGACTGTGCTTCTTAAAACTGTCTGAAGAATCAAATGCGCTTCTTAAAGCTGTTTGAAGCATCAACTGTGCTTCTTAAAATTGTCTGAAGCATCAACAGTGCTTTTTAAAACTGTCTGAAGCATCAACTGTGCTTCTTAAAATTGTTTGAAGCATCAATTGTACTTCTTAAAACTGTCTGAAGAATCAAATGCGCTTCTTAAAGCTGTTTGAAGCATCAACTGTGCTTCTTAAAATTGTCTGAAGCATCAACAATGCTTTTTAAAACTGTCTGAAGCATCAACTGTGCTTCTTAAAATTGTCTGAAGCATCAACAGTGCTTTTTAAAACTGTCTGAAGCATCAACTGTGCTTCTTAAAATTGTCTGAAGCATCAACAGTGCTTTTTAAGACTGTCTGAAGCATCAACTGTGCTTCTTAAAATTGTCTGAAGCATCAACAGTGCTTTTTAAAACTGTCAGAAGCATCAACTGTGCTTCTTAAAATTGTTTGAAGCATCAATTGTACTTCTTAAAACTGTCTGAAGAATCAAATGCGCTTCTTAAAGCTGTTTGAAGCATCAACTGTGCTTCTTAAAATTGTCTGAAGCATCAACAGTGTTTCTTAAAACTGTCTGAGGCATCAACAGTGTTTCTTAAAACTGTTTGAAGCATCAACTGTGCTTCTTAAATCTGACTGATTCCATAGAACAGACGTTGTTATGGATCTGTCAGAACAAAACAGGTACTTTAAACATACAACAGCCAAAGTATGTACACATAAAAGTGTATAGTCCACTTCCGGTGCATATACTCATTGTATGTATTCTCAGTGTATATATGTACTTTGTGAAAATGTACTCCTTGTTTATATTATCAGTGTATATACTCAAAGAATAAAATATTAACCCAATCTGTGTATACATAATCAGTATATTTTCTCAATTAATATATTGTAAGAATATATATATATATATTCTCAATAAATATATTATCAGAATATATATTCATAGTGTATATAATCAGTTTATGTATAATATGCATAAATTTTCAGTGTATATACCTTCAGTGCATGTTCTCAGTGTATCTGTACTCAATGTATACAGGTGGTCCAGAGGTTACTTAACAGTAATATTATATAATTCATTATGTCGGGGGGCAGGCAGCCAGTGTATATATAAATTCATGTTAGGCTTATATCGAGGTTCCTCACCGGTATTCAACCCTACAACAAGCTGACTACCCCCTAGGTACCTTCTTACTTCTAGGTGAACAGGTGTATAAGGTGATAGGAAATGTGGCCAACCATTTCTTCATATAACCCTACATCCTGGTGTGGGACTAAATACTAAATATTTAAGATATGCATTTCAAGGTGAATAACCCTTTCAGCAGAACCGAGACGTAATGTTTTGAGTGGAGTACAGAAGAGGAACAGAGTGGCAGAGGAGAAGGAGAAATAGGAAAATTTCCAAAATTAACATCGAGGCTCAATATAGTTGGAATGACAGTCACTCATACCATTCCTTCAGATATATCATCCACATCAGTATCCACTCCTGCAATGTCACCCACTAGTACCACTAGTATCTACTAGTGGTACAATATCAGCCACTAGTATCCTCACATTCCC